GTTAAGTATGTTTTTGTTTAGTGTAATGCTAATATATTGACTTTTTTCTAGTTGTGACATTTTTATTTTACACCAGACTATACCAGTGTATTTTCTAATTAATTTTAATCAGCCCTGTTAGTAAGTATAAATAAACAGGTTCAAAAATCACACATGCATAAATAATTGTTTACATTAAATAAATCAGTTTTTGAACTCTTCTTATAAAATAAAAGATGTTTTATAGTGCCAACTGATCTACCAAAAAACAAAATGTAACAATGGATATGAGGAATTATCTAGGCCAAAATATATTTCCAGAAATCACAGAAATCCTACTAGTTTTACAGGTGCACCTAGGTAGGTACTTGTTCTGAATAAAATAAAATTAGAAGATCTAACCAGAGACAAGTATATCAAAAATAAAACTCATTAATACTAAACTAATTACTGTCAGCATCGATTTATATTAGAATAAGTTATTTTAACATTCTTTTAACAGGGTTATGATGGATAAGTAATGTTATTTTTAACAGACACGTTATTTGTGAACATGTTCATATTTCTGTGTGTTAATTAAATAACAGACCTGTTAAAAATAACACAAGTTGTTAATCATAATCCCCTAAGTCAGTTGTAAATTTAAGTGTTATTATGAACAATTTTTTATTGCATACTTTATAAATATGACTTAAATTAGGATACCTAATAACATAATCAAAATACTTAATGTATTACATTTGCTATTAAATGATATGAAGCTTTTTTACTTTATAATATAATTCGTGCTTATTAACTAATTGTTTATTTGATTCCCAATATTAACCTAAAGATAATTCTAAGAAAAACGAAATAATAGGCATATAACTAATAAGTTTAAATATGTTTATACATTAATAAGTTTCTAAAAAATATTATTGACCACATAATTAATGGTATTTTACGATTTAAATTGCATTTATTTAAACCTGCAAGTCATTTTTAATGAATTTTGTACAAAACATAATTGCCTAAGTGTATTGTGACAAATTAAATTTAAGATTGAAAAATTAACCATTTATAATGATTTAAAAATTAATAGTTAGGTTTAATTGCAATAATTAGTGCAAATATATATTGAATAAAACATAAACTATCGAAGGAAACTGACAAATAATGTTTAATGACAAAAACTTACCTTAAACTGGAGAATGAATGAAAATACACAAAGGTCATCCATAGATCCAGCATCCAAGTAGTAGATAAGTGTTTACTGCAAAACCATCAATAACACTATTGTCAATTTCTGACAATACTACACAAGATGAAATGTCCTATAAACAGAATCAATCAACTTTTTGTCATCAATTTCATAAACAAACACGCACGTTGTCTTCTTAGAACAACAACAAATGAATATCCTACTCCATTTTGAAACCTTCTATGAGAAATGTTACAAACGTGATTTCTTTGTGTCTTCCCATCGTTCGACGGTCCTCATCTATAAACTTCACTTTATTTTTCAACTATCTCCGAGCAGGTACTTTATTTCTTTTCGATATTCATTTGGGAGTGTCTGTTCCCTAACAATTTATATATTGCCAAATTACATTGATGCAGCTATATTTTCACTGCTGATATGCCGACACTGAATGCAAACTAAATATCTTAGTTTCTGATTAAGCCACCAGATGATGCTACTTGCCAAGAGATCTGAATAATGAAAAGGTTACTGACCCTTCCGGGTTAGGACATGTAATTCTTTTCATTAAAATGTTTCGACCACTAGCGTGTAGGTGGCGACTCTGCTGGGTAAAAAGCGACTTGACCAATGATATACAAACTTTCATCATCGATGTAATAAAATTTTTAAAGGGTATAAATCATTTTTTAAGTGGCAAATCATTTGAAAAAATAATTTTATAGGGAATTTAACAGTACAAAAATTAAAATCCCGAAAACTTGACCCTAACCACTTTACGGGTAAAAAAATTATGACACCTCATTTGAAAACCAACTAATTTTATTAGCGATTCAAAAAGGTTGTTGGTACATAGAGAAGGCCTATCTCCGAATCCAGAAACCTCGATCTTTACCACTTTACGGGTAAAAAAATTGTGACACCTCATTTGGACACCAACTAATTTTATTAGTGATTCAAAAAGGTAGTTGATAGAGACTGCCTAGCTCTCTAATTTTCCCTGAAGAAAAAGGTGCGATTGTTTAAACTTTATGTCTGTATGAAGTATGTTGTTACCCCATAGTGTTCTTGAGTTTTTCCAATGAACTGAAGTAGAGCATAATGCTTGTTAACTGACTTGAGATGCGACTCTATGGGCGCAGACAAGTTATTTTTCATCTTACTCGGGAGTATTTATAATAACTATTTTCTCTTTCACATTGTTATTGTATGATCCACGCACTGAACTATATATTCAAGTGCCGCGTTTGAGAATCCACATCGGATGCATTTTTTACATCTCGAGCGTTTTTTATCCACATCGGACACATCTGTCCCATTACATTTACGTATACTGAATCACGTGATCAAAGATTTACTACATCTCAGATGCATCCGATGTGGATAATCTTTCCTCCATGATGTGGATTCTCAAACGAGGCAACTGTTCAATGATCGATACAACATTTGCCGCGTTTTCTTATCCACATCGGACACATCTATTCTATTACATTGGCCGCGTTTGAGAATCCACATCGGATGCATCTGAGATGTAGTAAATCTTTGATCACGTGATTCAGTATACGTAAATGTAATGGGACAGATATGTGTCCGATGTGGATAAACAAACGCTGGAGATCTAAACAATGCATCATATGTGGATTTTCAAACGCGGCACACACATGTCCGATAGCTATAAGCAGACATCAAAGTGCTGAGCTCTTACGTAATGAGCTAGGCGAGAAAAATACAGTACCGTAAGTCGGGTGACTTTGACTCACTGTCAAAATTTAAACCTAGTTTCAATTGTTAAAAAAAGCAAATCCAAATTCGCCTTTTCTCCATAATTTAGTTATATTTTAAAAATTATTAAGCAAAAATATCTCAAATGGTCTAATTTTTCAAATAAAAAAGGTGTGTGCAAAGCCAGCCGCAGGTAGAGGGTGACTTTGACTCACCCATCATTTTACATTGTTTTCTCTATAATATTACTTGCTGGTTTAAAGCCACCCATCACAGTTGGTAGTAAAACACATTTTATCAATAAAAAAATATTTTTTATTGCCTACGGTAAAGATAATAACAAAAAATATTACAAACAACAGTATTGTTGGTTGCATACAAATTTTATCACCTTTCAATTTCGATTATTTTGCAATGAGTTAAATTTTTTATACTACAAAAAGCGTAAGCGTCCAATTATCTTTAAATAAAGTGTTTTGGGTAGTTTTAATACCTTACAGTTCAACTAGAATGAGTTTTATTTTAAAAATAAGCCGTATAATTTTTTGTGAACAAAAATAACTATTTACTGATTTGAGCTAAAGTCACCCATGCGGGTCTTACCCGACTTTATTACGGTTACTCTCACTTTGGGTCCCGGGACATAACGGGGTAAAGGAAAACGAGATTGCAGATAGTCTCGCAAGGAAAGGGGCACAAACAACCTATGTGAGAATTGAGCTGTTCTGCAGTATTAGCAGTAAAATAATAAAAGAGAGAATCAAAAAAAATTAGGCAGTAGAAGAACCAATAATTGGAACAATCTCTTGATGCTAAGATACTTCTGGGTGAATATAACTAGAAAAGATCGGAAGCCTGGTATCTGCGCCTTAGCAAGAACTGGCTACGCATTGTAACAGCCATCCTTACTGGACACTTTAGTAAACTGAGAGTAGTGGAAGATAGTGAGTTCAGATTCTATGAGGAGGAGGAAGAAACGTCCATTCGAATTCTGAATGACCTTCGAGCATATCATTGAATAGAAGAATAAGGAGATTTACCTAACTTGAAGCCACTCCAAATCTTACACTCCCTTGAGAAGGGTCGTTATAGGCATTGAGACATTAGCGACAGAGAAGGGGACATAATAGATCTTTTTGGTCGCAGTGTATTTAACACCCCATTTCCAACTTAGGGATCTATTCTGTAACAATTCCTTTATATTTAACGGCCTTTAAAAATATTGGCGGCCTTTAAAAATATTTTCGTATTCGTTAATTTACTTCTGTCATTATTTAAACGGATTTCTTTAAGATAATCCTCTAATGTATTTTAAAGGAGTCCCTTTAAATAATGACAGAAGTAATTTAGTAAATCCGAAAATATTTTTGAAGGCCTTCAATATTTTAACGGATAAAGGAATTGTTACAGAATAGACCCCTATTTCGAATAAAAATATTGTCCAAGATGGAAGGCTATGTCGCAACCCCTTAGATATATAAACTCTTTGCCTAATAAAATGATGTGTTTGATTTGTTAGATTCGAACTACGAACTTCCACGACTTCAAACCTCTACTCGTTAAGATATCAAAATAATGATATTTTTCTGTTCTTTTTTTTGAAATTTTGAATACACATTGTGTGTTCTTATTGGGCAAGGCTTTTTTGGTGACCGAACACAAATAATTCGTATGTACACGTCAGAGAGTAGGAATATTGATTAACATTTTACAGGTAAAACAAAGATTATTCTTGTCAGTTATTAAAATCAGTACTAAAACATTGTATCGACAATGACAAATAATAAAATAGCGATTTTATTAATAATTGTTATTTTTGTTTTAAAACTTAATCCATGAAAGGTGCGGCGCGAAAAATTGCCTTGACATAAAAAACATTTGACAGGTTGTCAAATCAACAATCACGATTCGTCGCGTCGAGTGTTCGATATGGGCAAAAGGGGATAGGGTTTATCTGCAAGTTTTGGTTTGTTAAAATCCTTAAATTATTTTGTCTATTGGTTCTTCAGGCTTCAAGGAGAGGCAAGGCCATTTTTTAACCTAGGAAGTTATTCGTGCGATGTCAGAAGTCCTTTTTACTCAAATAGTCTAAAGAAGTTTATATTTCTGATCCGTCAACATGGCGGAGGTAATGCATATTTTCGACCGATATTGCATTCAGTAAGTAGTTTACCTTTAATTAAATACAGTTTATTGAAATAAATAAGTTAATCGTTCTAATGGTGACTATTTTATTTATAGTTATTTAGACTCGTGGTCAAGAATAGAAACGGGGCTACACAATTTCGATACCTGTTTTCAATTTAAGATCAAGACCGTTTTTGTATATCAATAATTACCTACTTTTTATATTTGCTAAGAAACCGTTAATTTTTTTGCTTAATTTAACGTAATAAAGGCGTGTTTTTAAAATTATATTAGTTGTAATGCCTGTATAAATCAATAATTGGTAAAAAAAATAGTTAAACTTATTGAAAACATTTATAAACAAAAACTAATAGCTATAAATTCATTTCCAGTTTTGAAATTTAATTTTATATTCGTGCTCCATGTAATATTAGTGAATTTAATCAGTAACTATTACAGAGAACTGATTTTAATAAATAAATTATCAATGTTATCATTATGGCAGTTTTTATCTACTGGTAAAATATCTATAATTGATAGTTATCTAGTCCCTTTAATAGAAGAAATGAGAATTGCATACCATAAGACAATGTATATATTTTTTTATTAATTATAGCAATTGGTATAAAATGATAAAGAAACATTTGTGAATACCAAAAACCTTGGTTTTCTATTATACTTAGTTCATATCTCAAAGCCTTGAGTTAACATCAATAGATATTTAAATAATTATTTTATATTTAATAAGAACATTTTAGACTGCAGATTCTTTGGAAAGCTTGTAGGTATGTAAGAATCAGTTTGGCTGATGTCCACTTTTGAAAATTGTCTATTGATTTATGATTATTTTATTGGGGTTGTCCTATTAGGTGAAAACAAAAACTTTGTACTTTGTATACACTATCCACTGGGAGATCATTATATTGGTCTCTAAATAATGTAAAGGAAAATCAAAACTTGTTTTAGGGATGACAGATACTAATCTTTTCTGTTTATTATAAAATTGACTCTTATTTGAACCAAATTCGTAGAAGTTAATTTAAAAAGGTCAGAACAGTTTGACTGTTAAGTAATAAAAGCCACTTTTAGATATTTTTATGTTGAATACAGTGCCTAAATAATTTTAATTTTAATCATTCTCTTTCTAGGTAAATAATACATACGCTTAAATAGATACATGATAAGAACATTATGTTATTGCAATTTTGCTATAAACGTGTTCATTATTTAAATTCCAAAACAATCTTAACATGTTATTCTTAACAGGTGTCCTTATTGATTGATACTCATGAAAAATAAAATAATTATGATTTACACTGAGTTAACTTAATTTAATTTTTTGGGGTAAATGTCCATATTATATAGCTTTTTAATAATAATTTCCAATTGAAAATTCTTATCATATTTTATATTATAAACAAGATATTTTAATATAATCTGAAATATGTATTGCCAAATAGACTAAAAAATTCTATTGATAATAAAAATTCAAATTATTTTTATAAAAAGCATGAATGCAAACTCAATTTGAATAAAATATTTAGTTTTGTTTAAGCAAATATTATTTTGCAATAGTAAATTGGTACTGAAAAATAAAGTATTAAATTTTAATTGATTTATGATAATAATGTTGAGACATTATTTATTATTAAAAAAAAAAATCAAATATATTTTTATCCATCTATTTATGAATCTTTTAACATAACTTTATTTCTAACTCTTTATGTTTTTGCTTTGCTCTCCTAAATCTGTATTTGTTTCTTAACTGTTCTAGAACCTCCTTTCTTTTCCATCTTTTCATCAGTCTTCGCCCTTTCTTTTGTCATAATATGTGGTACCCTCCAGAGTAGCTATTCTTAAATTCAAGGGAATAGAAAACTGGTTTATCCTCTTTACTACACACATTTGTATTTTTGTTTCATTCTTCCCTCAAAATTTCTACTCCCTGAGATTTAAGAATAGATACCCAGGCTACTTGCTCTACTGTCCTTTATTCCATCATGTCTGTTTTTGGTAGTATATTGCATGGTTTTTCTTTCATCCAATAATTCTTGTAATTATCTTAATTTCCAACCTTGGCAATATTTCATATTTTTTCTTTTAATATTAACATTAGAAACATTTTATTAAATATTTTTTTTATCCTCTAACAAATAAATAAATATTGAAACTCACAATTTTATTACTTTATTGTTTATTGATTACATCCGTATTGTAGATGCATTTTTTCATTTGAGATGCAATAAATTTAAAATATGCATAATGTTCAGTACCTCTATTATGATATGTATGGACATGGGTGTATCATATTAATGTAATATAGGTAATCATTTTCTAAGATATATTTGCATTAAAAATGTATAAATAATATTTAAAGAGATATAATTGTTAGATTTGAAACTAACATTATTTTATTAGAACCCTTGCCTCTGAGGAATGTTTTATTTGTGCATATTGTGACAGCATGGAACAAAACCATTATTTTATTAAAAGGATTAGATTATCTGACCTGCTTTATAAATGAGATGTAAATTATACATTCTTTTGTTTCTTTTACACTTTTTGCCAGTTTAATACATGTAAAATTCGTATTTGTATAATGGCTACTATCACAATAACCTGATGATGCAATTGTACAGAACTATTCAACTTTGTACACATTTTGGCTAACCACAAATTCAAATGAATTTATTTCAGTGAAGTTAAAAATACAAATATTGTAAAAGTAAGTATGGTTTAAGTGAATATTGCAGCTTCACATGAAACTTTTTGAAAACTTTCAGATGATTATCATTACTCAATTGATACAATAACACTGCAAAAATTACCAAAAACAATAGATGATTTCAACGGAAGACATCTTGAAGTTGCAAGGTCATTGGAAGATGTTTGCGCCATCTATAAGTTTACATAACAACTAATAAAATAAAAAAGAAAACTAAATTATTATTTTGGCAGTCTGTTTAAGGTTACGGCGTCGGTATTCATTTTTTTCTTTGTCTTCTTCATTAGTTGAATGTGCTCAGTTTTTCCCCATCTCTATCTACTTAGTGCCCAGGTCCCAGAGTCTTCTTTTTCTTAGTCATGTGTCATGTCAAAATTTGTAGAAACAAAACAAATTGCGGTTACAATATCTGGTTTTGTTTTTGAATTATTTTTTGCATTTATTTTTAAAATACTAGCTTAGAAACACAAAGAAAATGATGAAAAGTAAAGTTAAAAGGTAGGTGTGCACCTTTTGTTTACTACTTTAAATTTCATAGTGAATAGATGTATTTATCATTGTTTTTATGTATTATTATGTTCTGTTGTTACATACATAAATATTAAAAAAAAAAAAACCCAAGTGTGTACCTCTTTTTAATTTGTTAATTGCCTTAGTAGATGCTGGTCATTGTCAACAAAAATACTGAAAAAATTCGAACTCTTTTGTTGGGTAATGCAGCCGACACCCATTAAAAAAGGTTTTAATTTAACAAAAATCAGCCATAGAGACCTAACGCGCGCTTAGCAAGCCATGTAGATCTAGATTCCAGATCTTGGCGATAGTGAGAGTTAAAACTGAGCCCATACAACTAAAGAACAAGGCATGAAAAAAAATATATTTATGCTGACGTCGCCGTAACTTTAGACAGATTGTCAAAATAATAATTTAGTTTTCTTTTTATTTTATTAGTTGTTATGTAAACTTATAGATGGCGCAAAGATCTTCCAATGACCTTGCAACTTCAAGATGTCTTCCGTTGAAATCATCTATTAAAGATATGTAAAAAAAATACTGAATTCTAGTAAAAAAAGTATGCAGATAGATAGTAGTTAAGAGAGATCTTTGTAAATGTTAAAAAATAAGTTTTTGAGGTAGATCGTATATTTAGATGTCATATGTGTATTGACAATTTTTGTTTATGTACCTATCATCATTTTTACTGTTTTGTTTCCAATTTGACAAAAAAGTAATACCTCAATGTATGTTTGTCTGTCATACGTATTTACTTAGAGACTATTTGATGTACACTATTAAAACTTAAAACAGTAGTGGTCCAAATACAGGTGTTAACTAAAATTGTAGTTATTTATTTTGAGGGATTAAATTGGAAGTTACAAAAATTTGGATGCCATTGTGTGGGAGTATCAAATGAAAGCTCTTTGAAGCACGATTTCAAAAATGTATAAAATAATCGTTTGCATTAGTTTTTCTTTAACATTTTTTTGAAAAATTGCTGTTCCCAACGTAAAGCTCAGAAAAATCTAAAAAAAACCACAATACCCATTTTTACGTTGATGATTATAAAACCTTTAGTAATTCAATAAAATATTAGTATACTTTTGATGTGTAACGCTTCTATACTTCAAAATAATAAACAGATGTCCAAAAAAGTCACCACTTTATATAGACGGCGAAGAGTTAATCATGGGCAAACCCTGTACCAAATGTTTCATACACATTTCTAATTGTCATCAAAAATGGTTGGCCGAGAAACTGGTACCATTTAAATAATTTTTTCTTTCAGTTATTTTAACTGTAGAGATTGTCCCCATGGTGAACAGTGTTCATATCCGCATAAGGCTCGTCACGAAGTAGAGCAGATCCAATACTTACCCGGCAATGAATATTTTTTGGGAAAACCTCGCATCAACCAAAGAATTTGTAGATTTTTCTTAAGGGGTAACTGTATCCACCAACAAAATTGTCATTATCGTCATGAACACATTAACGATTTACCTAATGTTTTGAAAGGGGTTGATAAATCATCAAATAATCGCTCACCAAGAGGAATTATCAAGTAGGTTTTAGAATAGAAAGATCATTATTTAGCATGTTTGTATCATGTTAGAAAACTATTCTACACATTACACATTTAACTTATCACTGAACAAAAAAACATTAAGAAACCTTTTATAAGAGAAAAGATAAATAACAGGAGACATATAAAACTATAACATTATGCTTTGAAAGAAATTTTGTTACTAGCAACTTTTATTTTTTCATCAGTGCTACCATCTCCTAATTATTTTTTACAGCATTTAAAATCCCTTTGGACTCAGATCACTACTAATAGTATCCCATCATACCCAACTTGTGACTACTCTAAAGTCTTAGCAAAATCTATTTCTTTTACAGCATATCATTACTTAATTTTATGAAAACCTCTAAAGGTGGATTCATAAACTACGTTCAGTTCACGCTCAGTTCGAGTTCAACATAAACAGAGCAAAATGACACGGTAAGTATGTTTTGGATAAGAATTTATAATGGATTCATAATTATTTTATAACCAACACCATCTACCAATATAATTAAAACAAAAATAACACCAAAAAATAATTTTATTTTGTGGAATTTGTGGTTATGTCTTGCCAACTGCAACTGAGCGCGAACTGAACGTAGTTTATGAATCCACCTTGAAACCTCACCCAACCTAAGCTAATCAATATTCAATTCTTATGTATCTACACAGTGAATAGAAGAGCAGCGCTCAGTTCATTTTTGAGGGGATCATTTGAATCTTAATGTGTTACAGTCGAAATTTTGCAGTTTGAGACATTGCCAAATATAAAAGTCATACAAAATCGTGTTCTAAAAGCCATTATGATTTTAAATTTAGGAGGAAGCACTGTCTAATTTCATAAAATACAAAAGGATTTTACTAATTATGCCTAACACTTCTATTTCAATATGGTTAGTAAATCATGGATAAATTATAATGTAAAATCATCGCCTATCAAGCTAGCGGTCACTCTGTGGCGGCACCATTCAAGACCTGGCGGGTTTTTATAGCTTTTTTGTTACACTATTTGCAAATGTGTAGCTTAGCCCAGGTCCGAAAAAACAGCGGATCCGCTAGCTTGAATTTCCATAAATTCCATAGTAGCGGCACATATTCAATCTAGCTGGTTTTTCGTAACCTTTTTGTAGCTTTTTTGTTACGCTAGTCTCCCTTTTGTAGCTTGTACTGAACCTGAGAAAAGCGCGGATCCGCTAGCTTAGCGGATATTTGTAGCGGCACCAGCCCGGACCCGGCTCATTTTTTGTAACTTTTTTGTTACACCTGTCTCGATTTTGTTGCAAGGCCTGAACGTGAGTAATAATCGTTTCTCCATAAGCGTGAGAGAAAAATGCGTTAATTTAAAATCAAGTTTCGGCCTCTACAAATAATATGTGCAACTCGATAGTGTGACTATCTGTTGATAGATGGCACCAGTATTGCATTTCACGAATTATGGCCATTTTCCATCCAATATATTTGTGAGAAATTTAGATATAATCTCAAAATCGGACATTTGTTTTTAAATGTTTTTTAGTGTTGTTTATGTATTTATACTTTTGTTGAATCAAAAGAGTATTCTTACATCTTTTTTGAATTTATGGAAATTCAAGCTAGCGGATCCGCTGTTTTTTCGGACCTGGGCAAAGCTACAAATTCGCAAATAGCGTAACAAAAAAGCTACAAAAAACCCACCCACAGAGTGCCCGCTAGCTTGATATAGCCAATAATCATGTATCCATTTTACTATTTCATTATTTTATGTAAGCAGAATTACATACAATACTAATAAAGAGATAGCTGCAATGTAATTATTTTAATTTCATAAGGTGGCTGCATGAATTGATATAACACATTTAATCAAAGATGCAATTATTTGCTACAGGGGCCTATTCTGTAATAATTCCTTTATATTTAACGGCCTTTAAAAATATTGGCGGCCTTTAAAATATTTTCGTATTCCATAATTTACTTCTGTCATTACTTAAACAGATTTCTTTAAGATAGTTCTTTAATGTATTTTAAAGATCTGTTTAAATAATGACAGAAGTAAAGAAGAAAATATTTTTAAAGGCCGTTAAATATAAAGGAATTGTTACAGAATAGACCCCATATTATCTTAAAAATTTAACATTAGCTGCAGACGAGCGATGTTATATGTTATAGTTTCATCACTCAGTCCTATTGTTTAGGATTTTCCTGCGTTTTGTTGATTTAATTGTTTTCTACGGGTTTATTATTTATTGTAATTGATTTTGAGCGTTTGGACCTCAAGTATTTTGGTTTATTTTTATATTTTATTTACATGGTAAATGAGATTCCAACTATAATAATATACCGTTAATGGCACACAACCCTGAATACATATACCAGCCCTAAACAGATTCAAATTTAATCATGTCCTTTCTCGTTACTATTTACACCAACTTCTATAAGGCATTCGACAAGGTATCACACGACATATTGGAACACAAATTTTGAGCTAATTGCATGTTTTAGCAAATATTACTTGTAAAATTAGTTTCTTAAGGTTGTTTGTCACGACACTAACTTAAGTTATTAATTTAATCACTAAATTTCGAACTTTAAACCAAACATTTTAATACAAAGAATTCCAGAATGGGTGTGATTTATAGACACTCGCTTCACTTTTAGGACATATACCTAGTTGTAATCAAAATATTTTTTTTTTTTAAACTCCCTTGATATTGTTAAAATGAAGATAAACTATCATCTAATTTATTTTCAAAAATATATGGAAACTCCCAATTTTTCCTGTTGCATTTTTTAAAATTTTGAGGAAAAAGGTTTCCACTGGTAAATTCTGAACCTGTAAGGGTTAATGGTGCACATGTAATTTTTCATGGTTATATTGATCCGCATAATTCCAGATGAAAGAAACTACAAAAAACACTCAAATTTCCAAACAACAAGTAAACTTTTGAAGAGTTATGATCTGTAAAAAAGCTTCTGGCAACATTTCAACTAAATTTGCGTGAATTATATACAACTTAAAAAATGCATTTTTAGTTCTAAATTTAGTGCTTAATTTAGTGTCATTACAAACAGCCTTTAGTATTACGGAATCTATGGGGTTGCAAAAAATGTAATTAAATATAAATTGATAAGGATACAAAATAGCTATTTTTATTAATGAAGCACAATTTATATTTGAATTGTTTTTTTAGTATATCTTTAATTATATATCAAAAATGACAACAAGAGATTTTCCGAGCTACTAGTATACATTGCAATTTTTATATGATTTAGAAAAGAAAAAGGGATATTATTTTTATGCAAATACCTAGATTCTAATATCCAGTTTTATGTATTGACGTACCTATGATAAAACTAAAATAGTTTTATGTATTGACGTACCTTTGATAAAACTTTTTTAAATGCAAATTCGTTTCTAAAAAATATAATTATGTTCAGTTAGAAACTGAATGTATAACTTAACTGTTTAGTATGGAATTAGTATTTAAGATTGACATAACTAATGTCTAGTTATAATTTATAATAATTGGCTCATATTTAAGAATGTGCAAAAATAATGAAGTAATAATTAGAAAACCAAATTGTGCAACAACATAATTAAATCCTAAAATCGTAACGATTTTATCAAAGTTTTAAATGTACAACAAACTTTTTAGATTGACGTAGGTCTAGAAAAATGCAGGTGATATTTTTTGTAAAATATCGAGGAGCAAAAAAATATCAAAAATATACTGATTAAAATTATATTTTTTATAGTAAAGATAAGTAAACAAAGAATTTTTGAACTGAAATTAAAAAACACCCCAGTTTAAGATTACATATGTAACAATACAATTATTTTATTTTAAATGAAGTATCCATTACATTAATGACTTGGAATCCGTATTTTTGCAACCCTGTTACAAGCAATTTTTTTGAAAAATTTTATGTAAAATATTTTCTTTCAGCACCAACGTACCTTCAACTTCACAGTGTGAGAATGTTACAAACAAAAATTCCATAAATAACAGTCTAGATCTTCAAAATAAAGAAATGCTTATTTCCCATCAAGAAATCACTCCCTGGTAAGTTATTTTTTTTATAATTAGGAAAATTGTGTCAAGTAAAATTGCATGTTACATACAGTATATAAAATATACTATTCATGGTATACTTAGTTCTATGATATTTAATAGTAAACAGATCAATATTTAGGATAAATAGTATGTTCGAGACTATTTGCAATTAACATGGACTTTGATTTTGAAATTTGAGTGAATGTAGTGGGTCTACGTCTACCTGGTTATGGCCCATCTAAGCTGAATGATTAGCTTCTTAAATTGTAAAATTAAATGGTTGATCGTGTCAACTTAGTATTAACACCTTTTTGACTTACAATATATTGTAATACATTTGCAAAATGAGTGTATTTTGTTTAGCCAAAAAGAAGAACATGACAATAAACCCCTAACCGAAGAAGAAGGTGCTTGTGCATCCCCACCACTGACACATATAAGTGATTCCTGGGTGCACGCCCCGGAATTTGTGCCAAAAAATATTTATAGACCAAAAAGTTATGCCGAGGCTCTCAGTTCCGAAGCCATTGAAGAAAAAAATGCTAACAAAGAACTATGCCGCTACGTCAATAAAGATGGCATATGTAGAAACTTGACTGATTGTACCTATCTACACGGGGAAATGTGTGATATGTGTGAAAGGCTCATTTTACATCCTTATGATGAAGAACAAAGAAAAAGACATCGCCAAGTTAGTTACTTTTTTATGTTTCTGTTCCTATTTTATATGCATTATGGTTTTTAATTCATAAATATTTTCAGAGGACAGTGTATATATTTCTAATTTCCCAAATAATAATAGGTTATTCCATAAAACTTCTAATAAAATGTTTTATTTAAGGAATGTTTGAAGCAACACGAAAAAAATATGGAATTATCTTTTGCCATTGCCCGCTCTAAAGAAAAATCATGTGGAGTGTGCTTTGAAGTAATTATGGAAAAAGCTACTGGTGAACAAAGATTCGGGATATTACCAAATTGTAACCACTGTTTCTGCTTAAGCTGCATCCGCAAATGGAGACAGGCTCGTCAATTCGAAAACAAAATTATTAGGTAAGTTTAAGAATGGGGTATCCATTGGATTTGTCGATGAATCTTAGTGCAATTACAGAAATCTTCAACTAGAAATTCCGACCTATTAGGCATTTGTGGGGATTGCAAACAGATTCGTAACTGATGATTATAATTTCGAGTCTAGGATATTCATTCTGATTTCAAAGGTTTGAAAGAAAATATATTAGTTAAAATCGTAGTTTTTTTAACTATGTAAATTATCAATTCTACTTTTTTATAAATTCTTTATGAGATGTGGGTGTTTATATTAATATAATTAAGACTTGAAGTAAAATGAGGCAACTATTTTGTTAGGGAAGATTATTTTTGATTATTGCTCAAAAACAATCAACATCGGCGGCGACATATTATTGCTTTTAAATTAGTTAATATATTCTGCCTACTATAATCATAGTTTTATGGTTTAATTTAGAGGTAGTTTATACTGTGACGGCCCAGCCCCGGTACCCCCTATTTGTTCTTTATTTTACTCTCAAATGTTAATATTTACCTCACAAGTTTATTTTACTTTAAATTTTATACTTACTGTAATTGGCCTTTTTCCTCTAGTAGTAAAAGTTTTATTTTTCATACTTTAAGTGTGATGCAATAATTAGCAAAGTATATTACAATTGGTACTCTTTACCGAGATCTCACTTGAGTCCCATTCAAACGCAGTCAATATTCATTGGCTATCAATATATATTTTATTTAGATTGATGACCAAAGGAGCTAACGAACAGCGTCATTTCGACAGTTGGTTAACTACTGTGTTGTTGTTTTTATTCTTATTTAAGTTAATGACCAACGGAGTTAACGAACAGTGCCAATTCGCCAGTTGGTTAGTTTACTATGTTGATTTCACATATACTTTGTTTCAAACCTAGTAGAACGGGTTGCTTAGCAGATAGGTGCCCCCTTTGAGCTAATGAACAGTGTATTCACCAGTTGATTAACTTACTATTAAACTTTACCATCTTAGTTTGTACAATTTCTCCAAGATAGCACATCCCTTTATATTTCTTAATATTGATTTTTATAATTTCTATTGAAATACTCAAAATTTCACCCATCGAAAACAGATGTTTATCCTAACTGTCTTTCGGGGTGTATGACCTGAAGGCCATGTGGTTTATTAGTTACATTGAGAATATTTTAAAGTAAATGTCAGGCTCTACGTTTAAACGAAACCCCGGTGGTATCTCAAAGAAAGTTACATAAATCTTTTGACTCACCATTGAAAATACAGACATTAGATTATGTACTAATTTCATCTAGCGTTGTGACGGCGTCGATTTAGGTACGACGCAGCGTTGAGCGTCGCCTTGCGTCGAGGCGCCTAGCGTCGTGGTGGAAAGGAAGGTATTTAATACGGTACTGCATTTGGACAGATATACGGTAGAATTATGTAGGTGGTGCGGGACGTGACGAAGGGTGTCGACAAGGATATTATGAAGGAAATATTTAGGGACGGCAAGCGTCGAAAATAAGGCGTGGGATGTTGACAGCGTTCGGGAATAGGAAATATTGTAGGATAGACGTTGTTTAGGAAGAACGTTTTAGGAAAGGTACTGACTACTGAACTTGAAATATAACTGGGTACAAATAATAAATGAATGTTTGCACATCAAATAATAAAAAATGAATGCATCCGAGCTCCTTTGGGTCAGACTTCTTATACTAAGTTTAATGTCTTTTTGTGTGTCTTAGTTCCCAGAGAAATACGAATGTGGGTGCAAAGGGGGTGGCTGATTTATTACTTGCCTTGAAAGCTTTGTGTATCGAAATATTGTCGAAATCGGTATTAACATCGAAACTAGAAAGATAAGCGAGTTAAGTTTTTTAATGATAATTACTTCATGAAAAGAAATATGTTTTCTTAAGCTGGTTCCCAGACACGTGCACGAAATTTGGATCTTTTATGGACGTGATATTATTTATTAGGTGTTTTAAATAAAATTTAATTATCTGGGAGATTTTCGTTAAATGAAAGATTTTGAATTTAATAAGAATGCAATATTATATTTAATAAATTACTAAGGTATCTGGGTGGGGTAGGTTACAATACTACAGTTTTTCTGCTGTTGCTGTATTGCGAATTGTTTCCTATTCTATATTTTGTGAGTAGAGGGTTATCATTTTTAGTTAAAACATTTAGGTTAAAAATATCATTGATTTAAGATCTTTATTATAGTATAATGTACGAACTGAGGGAAAATGAGCTGATATACCGCCATTTTTTGTCCAAAACAGCACTTTTGAGCTGTTTGACATGGCATTGCAAAGAAAATAGATACACACATGGATACCTGTCCTTAAGACAGCCAAAGATCAGCAGTTGAAGTTTTAATGTTGAATTAACATATAGATAGATAATTTTTCATTGTTATTTAATTTGAAATTGGGAAAATATTAAAAATAATTTTAACAAATTGTCATTTTCAGAGCTTGTCCAGAATGTAGAGTCACATCAGATTTCGTTTGTCCAAGTATGTACTGGGTAGACACAAAAGAAGACAAAGATAAATTAATTGAAGATTACAAAAAAGCTTTATCGAGAAAAGACTGCAAATACTTCAAAAAGGGACAGGGGAAATGTCCATTTGGAAATAAATGCTTCTACCTGCACGCCTTTCCCGACGGACGCAAATGCGATGTTGGACCTCCTCCAAGACAACGACGTCCCCGTAATGCTGATGCAGACATCGATGTCCTACAGGTAAAATATCTCTTGAAAATAAATATTAAGGATTGAAGTGAAAAGCACACATCAGTGTGTAAAAAATTGAAGAAAAGTTTTTCTAAAATTTAGGCTGAGCACTTTCGGCTGTAAACATCTTTTTTTCCTGCAGGTGATGCTTTGGGACTTTCTCGATGAACGCGACTTTCCTTGGCAATCTTTGGCCGAGGATTTGGAGGATTTAGTTTCCTTTTTTACGGATTCCGAGGAATCGGATTGGTCTGATTACGAAATACTGTTTGATTAGATCCATGATAACTGATCAACTAAATATATCCATGATATTTTGATTGATGTTGTTAGGTTCTATTTCCAAGTTGTCCAATACAGAACAATTATTTCCGAAAGAATTAAAAAAGAAGAACGGTCGAATTATTGCTAGTTTAATTAATTATTGTATATATATACATATATATAATATATATATATATATTGTTGGTTGATATTTTCCAAACAATTTTATTCTTAGCAGTCCCACGAGTAATGGATTTTCGTTGCTTTTATTTGTAATATAATTCCTTTCGTTTTATGTTTACAATTTAAGAATTATTTACTAGTTGTTTTTATATACGTATGTATCAGTACCATTTTTTCAGAATATTGAGTCAAAATATCAGAGTTGGTTGTGATAAGTCATATTTGTTTAAAAAAAAAAGGATATTGGTATAATTTTACGTAAATTTAAACCAAATTACTCATTGGTTTAAATACTTTTCGGTTAAGGTTAAAATTATGAATTACAGAAAGTATGTATTTCGGTAAAAACGCCTTATGTGTGAAAGTCAAAAATGAATGCTAAAGGGCTGGGAAACAATTCAGACAGTTTTAAATTTTCTTTTTTTAGTCTGTTCAGGTTTACCAGATATTTTAAAATACACAAGTCATTATTTTGTAAACCACACGTTTTTCCCATCTCTTTAGCAACTTTGCAAAAATATTTGTAGTTATTTAGATCAGCTCCAAAATAAAATATTTAAATTTACACTTAACTACAATTTATAGAAGAAGAAAATAATAATAATAATAATGAGCCCTGAGATTAAAAGTTACCAGTACCTTTTATCAATTCATTTTATTTTTGTGTATGTATTCTGCTTTATATAATTTAGTTCAAAAGAAATAAAAACATTTCAAATGTTTTTAATTTTTAAATTCGGGAAATTTCTTCGCACAACAAAGGGCATATTTTTTAAATTTAATATGGACTCGTTAAGCTTTTACAGGGTATATTAAGACTACCGCTAAGGTATCTACATGCTGCATTATTTACATTTGGTGGGTATCCTCTTAAATCATTTTGTCCAGTTTGGTTTTATTTTCAGCATGCAGAATGTAGTTCTCATGTGTAACTATTTAGTCATGGTTTTCTTCTCCTTAGCAGGTTGCTTATTTTCCCGTACCATTTCGTATAACTACTTAGTTATGTTGGAACTTCCAAGAAGTCTCTATACAAGCTTTCGGGGGTATATGAACATAGTTTTCCTTAATACCTCTGCGCAGGACTGCATTGCATGAAATACTCTATTTACCTTAGCTCTGTGAGATTATTCTCTTTCTTTTTTGACACCAAATTAATTAACCTAGACAATTATGTGGTGATGAAATTATTTTGCAAAAATACATAGTTCTGCTTGTAGATACTGCGGCGTTAGTGTATATTTTGGAGCTAATGGACAAGTCATTTTTTTTAAATTTACTCAAATCCATAGTTTCGGTAATTTGATAACATTAAAAACTAAAAATGATTTTTAATATGTATTATACTGGAAGTGGTATTTTCGTTTCCAAGTAGTTCAGCTGTCTAATGACAAAAAAATCACGATACTGAGGCTTATAGCAAATAAAATCAACTTTCTGGGTATGATTGTTATTTGTAGTTGGTGCTGAAAGACAGGTTTAAAACGTCTACTTAAGCAGGCCAGTGCGTCAGAATTACTTTGTTATATATTAGGAGAATATTTATTTCTGATTTCATACATATTCGAGAATGTCTTAAAGTATTTGGATCAAAAAATGACACCCCATCTTTATAAGTATGTTTGTGTTGTAGATTTCAAAATAAAACATTCTATAATAATTATCTAAAATCATTTATTATTTAGTTCCATTTATTTCATGGAATGTGTTTGATAATAAGGGTTATTTATTTAACACTTAAAATTTACCTTAATTTTTTGCATTTTCGTTTTTAATCTACATATATAAGCACTTAATGGGGTTGTCATAACTGCCATTTGACCCACATTTTAGTACTTTTATTTGTATTTTTGAGTTTCGAATATTTTTATGTCTATATTTTTTGTAGTTATGAATTATTTTATATAACCAGTAATAAGTTGGACATTTTATTGTTTTGATTATAACTTAGTTGAGAACAGTTTTTGATCCAGGTAATATTTCATTTAGAGTAAATACTGACATATCTCGAATTGGTCTATGGATTAGATGTTGAATTGCTATATAAATGTTACTTTGATCATTGTAATATTGAAGTGTCTCTGTCTGCATGAAACTATTACTATTTGTGTAATTTTTTGGAAGATACATAAGTGTAATTTGCTAAAAGTCTATCTCTTCTAATGATTTTTAATCCATCTTCATGGTAAGCATAGATTTAGTTATTGTTGCACCACTTTTTCTCCTCAAGTTATTTTAAAAGTCATAGTGCATTCTACATTTTCATGCATTTCTCTAAATATTTGACATCTTTTTAACAATTTCTACTGAAAACTTATGTCAGATATTGGTTCAGAGCAAATGTTTTTTAAATCGATAATTCTTACTTTAATGGAATATATTTTATCATAGGAAGATCTAAACTTACAAAAATGTATGTCTTAGGGCTTTTAGACAATCAATATTAAAAATTTATGTTATCAAGTTGAAATTTATTTGTAAAAGCACTAGATCTTTAAATATGAAGAGGTAAAAAAGCTGTTTGGATATTGACAGTAAATAAATCACATCAATATCTAGTATTAGTAATTAAGACTGACATTTAATAATAAAACAATTCAGTTATTTATTATTTTGATTTTACCTATGGAACAATATAAAAATTATTGTCATTACTCAAAGTATAAAAATAATATTGATTGCCTAATGACTCGATCCAATAATCCTACCTTTTATCAAAATCTAATGTTTAAATAAATTATTTTAAAATGTTTTTAAGTCCCTTTAAATTGGGTCGATCAGTACTTAAAAAAGCTATAACTCTCTGATTAGATCCATCGAATATACCCTCAATAAAAACATTAAAAATTCTTTAAAATCGACACTTTGTACCTAGACTTCATACAAATGCTGTAATAACTATTGACAACTCATGTTCATAAATAATAAAATACATCATAGTCGGTAATTGAACAAAATTGCTATTGATATTTGTTAAACTATTATTGTATCCAATCCCAAATTGTTCCAACGGTCCGCTTTACATGTTTTACATAATTAAATTGTTGTCATCAATGTTGATAAAAAAATGTATTCAGCTTTATGTAATCAATAGTTATTACCAAATCATAAATGTGAATAAAGTTGTCTATAATCCTTCCACTTTGAGAATGAATGACCGATATTTGTTTTTTTTAGCACAAGTGAAGTTATTCTAAGTTATTTATACTAATAACATATATGTAAATTCCAATTATATAAAAATTTAGGAAATTGAGAATTTTTAACAAGACAACTCATAAAATATGTCTTTGTTTAATGAAGGTATGCCAAAAAAAAACTATTTAAATTTGAATGTGAAACATTTCACTTACAGTTGTCTGTAATATGAACTCTACGAGAAAAATGATTGACATTTTGGACAACAAAATCTTAATTCATAGCTATTCGAAAATATCATCTATCACAAAACCTATTTAATAATACTAGTCATCTAAGCATCATTCATTTTTAATTTCAGCGTAAAAGACCATTGGTAAGTTTTATGTTTAGCTTAAGCAACCATTTTAAAAAGCTTTAAGAAAATTTAAATAAGTGTATAAACATTTTGTTAGCTTTATAGTGTTATAAACATTAGTTTAGTTATATAGTTTCCTATAAACAATGATGTTCCTGGAATTTTTAACCGATCAAATTCAGTGAAAGCTTAAGCTAAATGTGAAATCTGTAAGTGGTTCAGGGATTTTAAAAACCGCATTGTAATTTACGAACCATTTTATTCTGACAAAGACAACGCTCAGTTCTAGTAGACAATTTTGTATTTTATAATTTTCTAAGTAAAATTTATAGCCATCAAATATATAGAACACGTGTTTAAGAGTGGCGAAGATTTAAATATATTATTGTATGGATATATAGAGTGTAACTTGGCATTGTTTTTAACAATTTATTTGAATAGATAGATACTAACATGTGTGGTGCTAGGACAGATGAACTGGAAACTGGCAACATTGCCATGTTGAAAAGATCTGTGATTGTTAGCTTGTTAGATGTAATTAAAATTACAGTAGCTTTTATTTACTTTATCCATTGAGATATTTATAAAATTCCCATTTAATTATTCCTGAAATTCCCGAAATAAACAGTTGATGGTTTAAATAAATGTTTTTGTCATCTATGGCCCTCTACTCATTTCACCTATCTATCTTTCTATCCTCTTTTTCCCTCTTACATAACTATTAATAAGCGTTTTTATGAAGACGGCTACTAAATTAAGAGTAAAAATTAAAGGAGAATGGGCGGTTTTGCCCTACCACCCAATAGGTAAGATACATGTCAAAAGATATCCATAAAGAAAACATTTGTTTTTATTAGCACGTTGAGTGCCGCCATGAATAAAAAAATCGTGCCCTGAAATTGTTTTACATCATATTTAGCCAGTTTTAGAACAATTTGTAAAAAACTACGTTTTTTAGAGAAAAAATAAATGGTTCCACATTGGTCTCATGCGGCCACAAAGTTCTAATTTGGTCTTCACGACCATAAGATACCAACCTGGCACCATGGTCTTATCGCATAGCTCTGATGGGAGTGGTGGTGTGGTGAGAGTATTACTAACTCGGACGTTTCTTCCTACGTTTAGTGATTACTAGACTTCCGCGCGGTAAAGATGAGTGCGTATGAGAAAGATCAACAGCAATTATGGCAAGAATGTTTTTCTGACGAAGACGACAATGAAGCGTTTGAGCCCGATGGTACGTCAGAAGAATATGAACCCGAATCCAGTGAAAATTCCGACTCTAATTCGCTATATGAGGGTTATTAGCCGCCTAATAAAAAACTAAAAGTTAAAAAAAAGAAACTTGCGGTAAAATTGAACGAGTTACAAGATATCGAAAATGATGTCTCGGGACCATCAATAGAAGACGTTGTGCGACTTGCTATGTGAAAATTCTGAGCAGCGTGGATCTAAAGAGGTATCAAAAAAACGCCGCAATCTACCATGAAATGTTCTGCATGCAATAAATATTACTGTCGGAAGTGCATGTAGCAATCAAAAAATAAGATTTTTGTACACTTGTTTGCTCTGTAATAACTTTCCGTTTGTATATTTCATATATGTTGTACAAATAACTGTTTTTTTATTTTATTGTAAAAACAAGCAGAAAAATAAAATATATCTCCCACAACATTGCCCTTTTACTCAAATATATTTTTTGAAATCAATTTGCTGTATGGTGCCACGTCGGTCTCGTGACGTTGTTTTTTATGACTTTTAAAGTGGATTATGTGGCTTTAAATAATTATTTTGCTCCAATTATTTAGGAGGGTATTTTAGTCAATAATGATATTAATGTTAGTGTTGAAATTGTTTATCAGATTTTAAAATTGGCATTAGCTTTATTTGTACCTGTTAAGAGATATAAACCATCAGTATACCCTACATGGTTTTCAGCTGAACTTAAAAAGTTGATTTCTCGCAAGAAGGCAGCTCATGCTGTATTCAAAAGTACTCGCTCAGCTGTTGATTACTTAAATTTTTCTAACCTTCGCTCTCAATGTAAAAATTTATCAAAACTAAATTATGAATATATTTCTGGTATAGATCTGAAGGTTTGTAAAAATACAAAATACTTCTGGAACCACATTAATTCTTTGAAACAAGACCATGGTATTCCCAATAGAATGTATTATAATGGTACAATTGCTGATAATGGGAAAGACATCAGTAATTTGTTTGCTACGCATTTCTCCAGTGTTTATAAGAAAGATATTGTAGATGAGCCAAACCTTCATTATAATGCTTTTAACCAACCTGATATTCCCTTTATACAGTTTTCCTTAAGTGATGTTTATGATGGTGTTAACTCCCTAAAAGATAAATTGAGTTATGGTCCAGATGGAATCCCTGCTTATTTTTTGAAAAAAATGTAAATTCACTCTTTCCAAACCACTACAGTTTTTATTTAAGTCCTCTTTGGAATTACAACAGTTTCCTGCACAATGGCGTGATAGTTTCATTACACCCATATTTAAAAATGGTCAGAAAGATGACATAGTTAACTATCGTCCTGCAGTTTTACTTTCTGCAATACCTAAATTATTAGAATTATTGTTATATAAACCTTTGTCATGGCATTGCAAAAACATTTTGATTGAACAACAGCATGGGTTTATAGGAGGTAAGTCTACTAATACAAATTTACTGCTCTACGAACATTATATCATTTCTGCCTTTGAAAGGGGGTGTCAGGTTGACTCAATTTACACTGACTTCTCGAAGGCATTTGACACGGTGAACCATGATTTGCTTTTAAGGAAACTAGTTAAATTCGGGTTTCCAAACTACTTAGTGAAATAGTTAGAAAGTTACCTGCAATCCAGGGTTCAATATGTCAAAGTTAAAAGTATAAATTTTCTTTATAATATCAATACTACTGTTTTGGAGAAAGTTAGTGAAATCAAGGATCTAGGTGTGATCTTCGATAGTTCTTTGACATTTGTCCCACACATGAGATCCATCATTAGTAGAGCTCTGAAAACATTGGGATTTGTGACCAGTAACTCTAGGGATTCTCTGTGCCTACATTCCGAACCCTTTACTTAACACTAGTGCGCAGAATCCTCTTATATGCTTCACCAGTCTGGTCACCTCATTACCGGACTCATATTTTAAATTTAGAAGCAGTTCAAAATAGGTTTCTAAGAACTTGTCAGTGGAGGTTACATATGCCTTATCTTTCTAATGAAATTTCAGTTAAAAAGATTATATATTTTCTCTACTTTCTAATTAGTAAAGAAGCCATATTTGGGATATATTTGCAGTATTATTTTATATTACTAAGAAATTCTTCAAGTAATTGTGTGCTGTAATATACTCGTCTTATATGTTTCTATCAAATGTTGCCAGATGTCATCGATTACAAAATGCCGATTTTCCTTTGAGAATATGAATAGTGTCAGTCATCGACATTTTGATAGACATTAGTAGTAGACAATATGACGAATGCGACATTTTTAATAGACATTCGAGAATAAGGCCCCTGGTTTAGAATAAAAGTTGAGTTTTTAGCCAAACTGGATTGCCAAAGTACATAAATTGAAATTATTTCATTAGAAATTTCGAGATCATTCTGTATAATTTTTAAACGATTATTTTCAATAAACTCCCCTAATTGGAGTAGAGAGCGCTGGGATACTAGGCATATTTAAAATAAAACTCGTCTTAAAATACACCTTTGCTGTTCTAATTAATATAAATGTTACAGAAACGTCAAAAACACACCACTATACTCATCTCTGTATCAATGGTTACCTACCAGCTGTTGGAAAGATAATTTAACACTTGTTATAGGATGGAAATGTATGCAGAATATTTTTCCAATCTTAAGAGTGAGAATATTTACATTCTTTAATTAAAATTGTATTTGAAGAATTATATTCAGTAATGGTCGTGGAGAAAGTAACTTAATAGGAATGCCACTTTTCTTTTTTAGGGTTCTAAGAACTGTTGAATAGTTTGTAATAATGCTCTTGCGATGAACTGATATGGGCATTCTCTTAAAACTAGTAAAACATCTAGTTTTTTTGTTTTCTGCTATTTGTTTCCCACTACCTTTATGGAGATCTCTTACATGGCTCGTTTCTCTGAATTTCTTCTCATTTTTGCTTAGTGGTGTCCTTATTTTGTCTCTACAATCATTATACAGAATTTAAATTCTTTGCATTTCAGTAAGCTTCATTTTGATAAAAAGAATTTCTGAATACAATGTATTTGATTATTACTATTTTTATTTGTCCAGTCAAAAATAAGTTTAATTTGAACGTACAATCCTGATAATATAAGCACATGTTTTTAAAAAAGTAAATCAAGAAGCTAACATTTCAAATTAGAAAAGAAAGTACTTGGAAGATTTATGGAAGTGTTAAACTAGACGATTTTTAGAAAAAACAGACAAAGCTAAAACGATAAAATAAAGTAATATTTTGGCACATGTCATAACTCAAAATTTGCTTTAGTATTATAAGTTTATACAGCAATACTTTATTGCGATTTTTTTGATTTATTTTTAGGTTGAGCTGAACTTGTTTATCTATAACATCATTCTTTTAGGTTAGCTAATGATCCAGATGGATTGTGAAATATAATTTGCCTTAATGGAAATTGATTTATTTCAGGTATTGCCCATATTACCCATATTTGATATAATGATAGTGCTACCCCAAATTCCCTTCCAAAACTTGTTGCTCCAACCTGAGGCGTCCGTACCAAGTACAAGTAATAATAATAATGAATTATCGACGTTAAATGGATAGTCTATAAAGCATCACCCATATTGAACAAATTCAAAATTTTCTCACAATTTCCGATTGTTTCAAAATCCGTTTAAGTTACATTAATAATTCTAAATTATTGGAAGAGTGTATTTCAAAATTTAGTACTTTTAATGGTGTAATGTGATTACCAGCACAACAAACAATAATTAGTTTGACATAAAATGAATGCAATGATCTTGGTGCCTAAATAGTGTTTTAAGATCATACAGTAGTTACATTACTGAATATTTTTTGTTGGGTTAAAATCGGCGTTTTTGTACAGTTATTAGATTTAAGATAGGTTTAATAAATAATTTCAAATATTATTTCCTTACATCAAATTTAATTTGCTTTCAAAATTATTATTGTTTCTGATTTTTCAGGCAATACCAGTTGTTTATATTATTTTAGTTTATTTATGAACACTGTAATCATGTCCCATTCTAGAAAAATTAGTAAAAATACAGTTTCAAAAAACATTTAATTATTGTGAATTATTAATATTTCTTTTCAAAAATGATTTCTTGTTCTTTGCTTATAATAATAGGTAGCCCTAGAAAAACAATGGAAGAGAGGATGCAAAAATAGGATTAAAGAAAGTAGGTTTCCAGGGCTAAAGAATAGAGCTATGAACAGATCACAATGGAATAAATGGATAGAGAATGTAGTAACCAAACTGCTCATAATTATTTTTCAAGAATTTCCCAGTCCATAAATATTGAATATATACAGGGTGTTTTTTTAATATTGAGAAAATGGTTTTTATTGTTTTGTGCGAAAACCGTGCATCAAGCGAAAACAGGCCAAGAGGCCAGATATGCTATAAAAGAAATAAAGAATTCGAAAATATTTTTCTTACAAGAAAAACCAGTGGCGTACCGTTTTCTTTTTAGAAAATATTCAGTTCAAAGCCCGCATGAACGCCAATGGCGAATGTAAAAGTTTAAATTGTGTATCGGAAAATGGCTTTGGATGCATAGAACCTGCGTACCAATTTTCAGAAAAATATCTACAGGGGTATTAAATTTATCGCAAATAATAAGTTTTTTTTCTTATAACTTTTATCACCCTGTAGTTCAAAATCTAAGAGGCGTAGGACATATGGAACTTCTTTGCTTCATTTCGTCCAAGGGACACGCTTCTGAATATTTTCGCAATATTAAAAAAACACCCTGTATATAACTGAAGACAGAAAGTTTTTGATGTCTTATTCATTCATTTCAATAGCTACAATTTTACCAGAGGTGGCTCGTGACTTAAGCTACGGAGGCTACTCTTGAAAAGCACACCCTATACATACTTAATACTTTCTATTAGAATACAAAAATCAGAAATATAATATTCTAATAAAAATATATATTCGTGTTAAGTATAGGGTGTGCCAGCCTCATCTTAGACTAGGCCACAAGCCGCCACTGAATTTTACAAAAATTGTGATATAAAATTAATGTGGTAAAATAAAAATTTAAGAGTATATTTAAAATATTTACATATGATCAATAATAAATAAAAATAAACTATTGATTATATAAAAAAAATATCACTAATTTATATTAAAACCATTTTAATGTTGCATACATTGCATTATTTTTCATTTAAATATGGTAGGTATGAGGATGTATCAAAAATAAAAAGACTATAATGTTGTCTTGGTTTGGACATGTTTCCAATTAAATTGGCTACAAACATACTTGCTTGATAAGAGTATAACTTCAAAATAAACAATTTTTTCTAGTTATATTCTGGTAACAATGGGTTTTCTGTTGTTCTATTTAACAATTTTTTACATAAACTATGCATATGACTTGTAAGTATATGTAATCTAAAGACCATTCTTATGGCATACCATGAAAATAAATCATTTAGAAGTTTTATGAAAAATAGATTACTAATAGGATTTGTACATACAATATTTTAAATGTCTCACTTTTGTACTATTGCCACAATATTATTGTATGATACATCTCCATACATTAAATAAATTACAAATTTTGTTATAGTATTTTATTTTGCTTCTAAATCCTTTACAAGATCTAGATTTTGTTGACGTTTAATCTCTTGTATAGCTTTTTCAAACTCTCTGTGAGCTTGTGATTCTGGAGGAAAAAGTTCTCGTTTCTTATTGACTACCCATTCTTCAAAATACTTCGGTTGGTTGAAATAATGGAACAGTGCTACAGGAAACGTTATATATAAGGCCATTTTGGCAACTTCGAGCGACCAAGTTCCCATACTTATCTAAAAAGTGGACTTATGTAACTTGAAAATATTACTAATAAAATTACATTTTGATAAGATTATGGTGAACTATTAAAGCAGAATTTGGTTTTATATTTAGTTAAAGAAAAAGTTTGTACGTTTTTATTAACAAAGACTAATTATCTACTTATTTATTTGATATCTGAAATAAACTACTAGTTAACCTAAAAGCACAAAATATTTTTAATCAAATAATATACCTTCTATTTAAGTTTCTCGTTGTGAATTGATTTCTATAGTGGATACTTTATTTTTCAAATTATTCAGTGGAACACAAATAAAATTGTTATTTTACATTTTTTTTCTAAACAACCCCAGACAAAAATTAAACGTCAACTGTCAATTGGTTGTCAACTGATTTTTAAAATTCGTTCATTTTATTTCCTAATGTATATGCAACCAATAATACGTACTACTTGTAAACGGTGTGGTATACGTACAGACGCACATATAGGGCGCGGCAAAACTAGTTAATTTTAAAATTGATTTAAAAAATTGGCTAAACGTAAGTCGTACTTGCAATAGTGTTCCGGTATTGTAGATATTTTAAAATAAGTAGAGTGGATTCAACCCTGACCCTGATACAAATAACTATTTTCGTTCAATCTACATCTAATTCTCAAAGTTCGTGATTTTATCAGGTTATACTTTTAAAGGCAAGTTTAAGCGTTTGGTCGAAAAAGTAAAGTAGAAGAACGTATTATACATTTTTTAATTAGTGCTTTCATTTGATACCCCACACGATAGCATCTATACTTCACAATGTAATCCCGTAAAACTGACCACCAAGACAGCGGTGTAGCGTAGCAGAGACAGGGGTGTACCTGCCCCGGGCGGCACTTTGATAGGGGCCGCAGATTTTAAAAAAATTACTAATTAAGGATATTTTAATGAACTGCGCAGATTCGGAACAATCTTATTTTTTTGATGATGATTTTGTATAGTGAATAAATATTACAATATTAATATTACAATATTCAGTAATTTGAATAATAATTTTCATTCAACGAGAAAACTAGGTCTATTAAACATGTTTAATACAAAAATATTTGATTTGATTACATTAGGTACTTAATTTTCGGTTAATTAAAAGAGGGTTGCTAGAAAATGTATTAATCTGAAACTACTGTACTGTAAATATGTACCTAGTCAATTGTTAAAATATGTAAGCTACTGACTTTTTATTTTATGATAAACAGCACAATTAGTACTAATCTAACGTTAGATATTTAAATAACTAATAAAAAGCATCTTTTAATATTTTCTGGATTTCGGCTTCGTTTTGGGAATTTTATCAAACTGTAAAATACTAAGCTATAAAATAAATCAGAAAAAAAATATATGTCATCTTTTTTGACTTGTTATAATTTTAGATATTGTTGATTTCTCCAAATTTAAATCGTTAAAAGATGTTAAATATTTTGAAAAAATCGAAAAATTAAAAATTGTGTAACACCCTGTATCCTTGAAACAAAGCACCTGCTGATCCGTATTGATAACAGTGGCGTACCCAGAAATTTTTCATGAAGGGGTTTCTGAGAACTATTTGGGGAGTTAACAAACAGTTAATAGCGATCAGCGCCAATAAGATAGGGGAACGGTAACGCGAAGGCCCTCCATGGGGGGTTCTGACCCCCCTCGTCCCCCCGTGGCTACGCCACTGATTGATAAGGACTATTTATCTTATTTTTTTGGGTAAGGAATCACCCCATGAGCGATATGGCATATATTTTTTTAAACACCCTGTATAGTATTTTTAAATAATTACATCCTTTGCCTTAATTGGATATTTGTACATTCTTGGATGAAGCTTTGATTGTTATATAAGACCATACCTAAACAAAAATTAAAAAATATGACACTCCCATTCTGAATAACGCCGAACTGTTGTTGTTAAACCGCGGAATTCTACCTGAATAATTAAAAGAATTCAAATACTATATCGGTTTGTAACATTCTCATTCTGTTTATTTCCAAATAAGAGAATAGTGATTTATCTCCTGATTAAAAAGCCGCAAATTATTTCCTCTTTGCGTACGAATACGAAAAATGAGTAATATATTAACCGTCGTTCATCAGTCACATCAATTGATAAAAAGAATCAGTGCAAAAATTTACACAATTTAAGAAGGACGGGAAATAATCCGTAGTAGTCTATGTACATTTATTCGCGTGTCTTTTTCAGTATTTCAGTTGATTATTTCCTTGCCGCTAGCAGAAGTGTTGCGGACTTTCTCGATTTCAGTACACTCGCGTATGTTTTGAACCGGTCTTAGTTTTGCAATAAACATCAGATGTGATTGTGATTACCTAGCTGGTGTATTGCAATAAGGTAAGTTATCTATTTATTTACTTGCATAAAAAAATAACATACCTACTAAGTTATCCGTACGCGAATTCCTTCATTAGTGGACATCCAGTTTTTAAACGTCGAGGCACGTGCGTTGAGAATTTTTAAAATAGATTTCTTCCTAGAGGACGGCGCGAATTTTCTGCATACTTTTAAATGACAACAACTGCTGGACTGCTGCTTTTTGTGGATATTTGAGTGACGGAACAAAAGGTCATATAATCCACTTCAGTGAAAATCGCAAATATTTTCCAGGTGACGCCTGTGAAAGAGTGATTAGGTAGAAAGTTTGCATTGTTTTTTTTTTCCGTAAAAATGCAAACCGTCACCGTGATTATTGTTGATTTTTCGAAATCTGCAGTTCTCAATTCATTGTAAAAATTACTGTTTTTATTTGAAGGCAATGAATGAGATATGCATTTTAATGCTCTACAAAATTTCAATTAGAGGACAATAATAATAATAATAATAATAATAAATTAATATAAGAGAATAAAAAAATGGGTTTTTTGATAAGAAAAAGTAATAACAAAGAAAAGTGAATTATTATAACAAGCAAAACTTATAATACTTTCAAATGGTTTTTAATACAATATAAATGAACCGCGGTTTTTTAGGAAACATCATATAAATACAAAATCTGCTTGAACTTTTTGTCTAGGTATATAAAAATGTAGTAAACAAGTTTCGTATAAATTAACGTACAAAATAAATACCTAGTGAGTTTTTATGAATGCATCTGATTTAACAGTTCTTTTATCTAACAAACTTATTAAATTTTAGATTGCAAAATGTAGAAATAATGCAGTACATGAAAATAGGAATCTATTTTGTTTAAGTTTGTGTAAGTCTCATTCTGAAACACATTATTAGTAATAATTTTTTTTATAAAATAGATATATTTCTGAAATACTATAAAAAATAAGTGTTTAGAAAATATTATAGACAAAGTTAAAGGTATCGATAAGTATACTGATGTACCTACTTGTTTCAATCATAGAAAATACGATTTTAAATTTAACAATAATAGCTGGGGGTGGGTGGCTTCAGTGATAAAGTCTGCCTGCGGATTCAAGGGTCCCGGGTTCGAATCCCACCGTTGGCAGGGATTTTTTAATTTAATTTAATTATTTACCATTAATTATGATGCCTTGGTAGGATTCCCCACTCGACCATTCACTGTTGGGTTCTAAAGTGGGACTGGGAAACTAACACAAAGCCTACACAGAACACGAGGCGAAATAACCAGAGTAGTTGAAGCCGATGACACAAAAAAACAATAATAGCTGGAATTAGATTTGTGATTGAAAACTTCACAATAATAACTAAAATAAAATACAGGGTGTCCCGAAATTAGACGGTCATATTTTAAGAGCGTAATCTACATCCTAAAATAGGAGTAAGAGTTCATAAACATAGGTCCGAAAACGTTTCTTTTCCGAGATACAGGGTGTTAAAAGTGAAGTTCTGATAACAATTTTTTGTAAATATTTTCTAAACATTTAAAGATAACTAAGTGGAATTTGGTACAATTGCAACAGTTTTTTTGTTGGCAGTTTTTAATATTTTTGACTATAAAATTTGGAAACCCAAAGTTTTCTTTATAATAAAGCTACTTTTGTTGCATCTTGCTAGGATGCACCATTTTCAAGAGAAAAGCATTTGAAAATTTCATGATAAGTTGATGTTATCTTATTCGAAAGTGTAAACAATAATAAGTAGGCCTGTGGAATCAGAAATTTTATTTTTTTAACGTTGGAAAACCAAGGACTAAAGAAATTTTAGAAAATATTTACAAATATGTGCCATCAGGAATTTAATTGTAACACCCTGTATCTCGAAAACGAAACTTTTTCGGACCTATGTTTATATGAACTTTTACTCCTATTTTAGGATGTAGATTAATCTGTTAAAATATGACCGTCTAATTTCGGGACACCCTGTATACATTAAAATATAAAAAAAATTAAAATATTTACTTAAAACGCACTGTCGTTAAACGTACCTCTCCAAAATAAGTTTATACGGAAATTAAACAAATAGCATTCCGAAATAAGCCCCTGAATTTGACCTCATTACCGGAAAGATTTTGAAAATGCTTCCTAGAAAAAGTTATTGTCAAAATGACCAATCTCATCAATGCGCCCTTTAGACTAAAGTACGTACCTATCAGAGGTTGTAATGATACTTAAGCCAGTTAATCTTCCCCATCAAGTTACAGCGTACAAGCCTGTCTCCTTATTGCCTGTTTTCTCGAAACTCTACATAAAAATACTTAACCTATAATAAAATACCCTACAATCTGAGAAAAAGACTCGATCATCGACCAATCTATTCTGACCTAAGAGAAATGAAGGCAGAAGTACCTCAAGGTAGTATACTCTACTTGTAAACCAGAGAGATCATTTCTGGTTATTGAAAAGGATCACAAAGAAGCTAACAAAAAATTGTAAAAATCTAGTCTGGATTACCAAAAAAAAACTATTTCCAGGAGAGTCTGTTACGGGCCTAAAAATTATAGGAGCTTGTAACGTTATTTTATGTGTTCTGTCTGAATCCAGGACATTGCCTACATATTCTGTAGATACCATAAGATTTAATTAAAGCATACATAAATATTTTATTATTTTTTATTTATGTTACACATTATTACCTAATTTTAATGTACTTATACGTCTCTGTAATAATATTTAAATATGAGTAACATTTTTTAGAATTGCCTACTTTAATTTATAAAAGCTGAAAAGTGTGGGCAGATGCAACGTCTTGAGTTTCTTAAACTGTTAAAAAATACATTCTGCGACATAATTTATGATTTTTTTTTTGAATAATATGAACCAACGATAACCATCAACTAGTTATATATAATTCAATACTCGACCCACTGTCAAAATAGTATGAAACTTGAACTTGACTGTGATTTTTCAACATCTATTCGGTAACGTAAATAATTATTATGCAATAATTTAGTCTTGAGATACGTTTTTGGACTTGACTAAATTAAATAATTTTTTTTTGTGTTAAATTGTGTTCTAGAAAACAAAGATTAATTTTATCGCAATATGAACAGTTTTGTATAAGATTACAAAGCAACATATACAGGGTGGTCAAACTAAAACGAACCAAAGTCATTATCAAAAACTGCATAATTTTTTTGATCAGATGGGCAGTATATTCTTAACTGTCGTACGTCATTTAATATAACTATTTATTGCGTTGCTTTTGTTTTAGCGGGATAAAAACCGTTATATATTGTAAAGTGTGGCACTTACTCCTATAATCTCCAGAATATATTGGTATTAGAGGAAATATTTTAAATCAATTTGTAAGCTACCTTACCCGTAGATATCAGCCGGTAAAGGTGGTTTGGTTTCAAAATCAATATTATATTATAATCAACGTTTCAACTTTTCCCACGTGTCTGATGAAATATAAAGTAGTGACGTCTGAAAAACCAAACTTCTAAACGAGAATAGTCCATTTAACCCATAGACCCTGTCCGCAGTTCGAGTTAGGGATTATATCCCTTTTTCAATACCTTTATACCTGGCCCATGCGTTTCCGCGGTTCGAGTGCGTCCGAATACCTATTCGGCTCCAATTTTAATTATTAAGAATATTAAAACTCCACATTTCCTGTTTTCATTTTTAATTATTTTGACCTTATTGACAGTGAATTAATCTGTTTAAGAAAAATTATCTCTATACCAGATGAATGGAAAAACGGATCCCAAGTATTTGAACTTGTCGCAAAATTTTCCACACCGCTTATGTCTCTGCAATTCCATCACCACCGGAAACTGTCTCATTTAATTTAATTTCTAGCAATCTTTGTATAAAGGAATGACATATTGAACTTTAGACTTTAATTAATTTCACATCTGTTTTACTACTCTTAGACAAATTCCTAGAACTTATCATCTGTATAAGGTGATCTTAATTTTAGTGAGTAGGTGCGTACTATATTGGAATACTCAATCCAATATGGAATAAAAAATAAATCACTTCAAATAATGTGTGACAATAGAATTCAAATTCTGTAAGCCCATGTTGCAAAATCAATATTTATAATAATTTAATTATTTCCTTATTAATTGTATCTACCGATAATTATTTTACAAAATGTTCTCATGAATATTAATCATTCGAATCAGTAAACAAATTTTGTGTCTTCCTTAACTATTTTATAAGTTGACAATTAAGATTTTCCTAGAATCTAGAATCGGTTTAGCCCGTATCCAGATAATTGCAAGATAATTGTTGGTACAGATTGGTCTTAACTATTAAACTCAAATAAAAGTATTAAATGTATTTAAATAAAATAAAATCGAAGGACTTAGATAGTTATTTCTCTTATCAACGTTGGTTAGATACTTATTACCAGTCTCTCTGGGTGTAAACATTCTTCTGGTTTGTTATTGTGCAGTGCTTTTTAAACAACTAAATTATATCCAATCAATCGGTAAGTCTTACTTACAAGTTTAATTTCTAAGGTTATTAGATTTAAAATTGAATCGACTTACATATATACATATTGCAGACGGTTTTTTCATTTTCAAAACATTGTATAGGTACTATGCACTTTGTCAATTCACATGTAACTACACCCAATTTCAAATATATGAATATATTTCTTAGCATATTCCGATAAAATGTGTGTGGGTTTACTGTGTTGAAAGTTTTCTTCCTTTTTATTGATTGCCATTATGTTTTAACTTGGGTCTTTTGTCAATATGTCACAGCGCCCTGTTTTGCAATAATAATAATATATGTAAATCCTTGCGGTATAATCATAAAAAGTTGATAGTCGTGCCTAATTTAGCAAAAGTGACCGCGATTGGAAAGATACGTTTTTATAATCTCATGCCATAGTAAGTTGCACAGTTACAAATGATGTTGAAAAAGTTGCTTTGCAGTATTGAATAAAAAATTTACAATATATACTTTATTTTGGTAAGACACCTACAATAAAAACCGCAAAGA